CCCCCCCCCCCCCAATTTTTTAATACCATTTAATACTCCACAATTTTTAAAATGCCAAGGAACTGTATTTGGGTACGCTTCGATGATTAAAAAAATAGAAATTGAACTGACAATAGCCTGATGCTCGATTTTAATTGATCAATGAGATGATGTTTGCATAACTGAGAGGATTAGGAATGGTACATTTTTTATAACTCGCTCTTACGAATTCTGCAGTGTTATAGTAACGACAGGAGACGATCCAGAAAACCAGTGGGTTGAGAAGAAATGTCCCTTGAATTTTTCATTTGAATCTCGCGAAACAAAATTTTTGCGAAATTTCACAATTTCCGTTGTTACTCTCTTACAAATATCTCAAGAATGGTTAGGTGGACAGAAAAATGTCAGAAAATATTTTTTGTGGAGAATTTAATGTTCCACAAAAACTGTCTTATAAAATTTTTCTCTAAATCTGACAGTTTGGCAGATATTCGGAAAATGATTGAAACAAAATTGTTCACGATTTCTCAAATTGTTAAATGCTTGGAAAACTATTGGGTTTATGAAGAGGAAAATGTCTCTAGACAATTTCTTCTGAACTTATAAGAGATATGTTCAAAATAATCGGTTCAAAATCCTTGGTCTCACACGGAGAAAAATTTTCGTTCAAATGAAATTTCTGGGGATTTATGTGATTATTTCCCGGCATTCGGTAATTTTTTGTTGACAAGCAGAATGGCAAAAAATTGTCGATTGTGCCACGATGACACCGAATACTGCAATTCTATCTATCGAAATGGTGATAGAGAAAATAATCCGCCGAATACCTCTCTTGATCTTCAAAATGAGTCGGAGTATTTCCCTGAAACTGCCCTGCATACAAACGAATCGATCAAGTTTTGCAGAAAAAATGCCTCGCGCTAGCGCTCGGGATTTGTTCAACCTGCGAAACTTGATACATTCGTTTGTATACAACGAAATTATCGAGAAATACCCGACCATTTTGAAGCTCTCGGGGTATTATAACCGAAAATCCCATATCAATACGAGAAAAATTCATGTGCTAGCCAATAAAATTTCCAGTGCCAGCACTGGAATTTTTCCCTAGCGGGAGCTTTGCGCCCATTGAATGTTTCCCCTGCTAGCACTAGAATTTTTCAAAAGAATTGATATCCGTGCATCTTTAATCTGCACTACTTCACCGCCGAATTCTTCATTTTCATCTCGAACCCTTTTGTATATATCTGTTATCGAAATGTAAAGTGATTGATGGTGATTTAATTGACAATGGGCTTCTAGGAATTACGAGAGATACAATCATAGATTATTGTATATAAAACTGCGTCATGTACTGAATTCATCAGCAGTCTATATCCCAGAATGAAAAATTCAGAATATTAATAAATGAGTAGAAGAAACTCCATAAACCTATGAGAACTATTAAACAACTTCGTTTGGGCCTAAGTATCCATCTGCGTGTAATCCTCATTATGAAACGTAGCGGAGAAACTAAAATGCTTGGAAAATCGTCATTCCTTACTCTTCATCTGACTGTACTCATTAACTAAAAAAATCAGATTAGGGAAAGCCGGGGTAGAATGAAATACCAGGGAAAACGGTTACTTTTAGCCCAATTATGGAAGTTTTTTTTTGTTTTGCGTTGGGGGTCAAATGGTCTTGGGGGTCAAACGGCCATTAATGAGGTGCGGGGCTGAGGATCAAATGGTCGTAAAGGTAAAACATCCCCTGAGGACGTTTGGAGTTGAGGGTCAAAGTGTTCCAAGGGTCAAACGACCCTTGAAGACGTTAAGATTAAGGGTCAAATGACTCTTTCTGATCAGTGCTCGAGTCCGTTCGACTCCCAAGACCATTTGACACTTAACCCTGAATGGTCTTGAGGGTTATTTGACCCTCAGGAGCATTTGACCCTGAACTTCAAGCATTCTTAAGTCGTTTGACCCTTAAATCCATTTGACCCTCAAGGCCAAACATTTTTAAGAGCCGTTTGATCCTCAAAATCATTTCGCCCTCAACTAAAAACAAAAGTTTTTTGAATTTTCATCTTTTTTGTTGAGGGGCAAATGGTCTTGAGGGTCAAACGACCATTGATAACGTGTGGTACCGAGGAATAAATGATCGTAAGAGCCAAACGACCATTGGGGATGTATGAAGTTGAGGGTCAAACAACCCTTGAAGACGTGTAGGATTAAGGGTCAAATGACCCTTCTTATCACTGTGCCCCAACCAGTTAGACCCTTGAGACTATTTGACTGTCAACTAAAAAAAAATTCCCGAATCGTTTTTCCTGGTATCTCATTTTACCCCGCTCTCTCCTATTTAGTTCCTACCCGAGATTCATTCCGGTAGTCTTCAATCATAGATAAAACACAAGTTTCAAATGAAAATGTGAGATTATTATACATACATATTTATTATATACCAATTAGCCAATGAAGCCTGAAATCGCGCGCTAGTCGTGTAAATATTAATTTTCGCCAAATTTTTTAGTTTATCGATCGATATAAGTGTTGTGTAAAAATTAAATAAATAAATGAAAATTGTGTAGATCATATTTGAGATAAGTATACTTGATTGATTGAAAGAAAGACTAAATAAAATTATGAGTAAAGTAGAACAAATGGATTGATTCATTTATCCCGAATTGTGTGATTTTTATCGGTGGTAAACCAAATTTTTCTTTCGTCTATCCCGATTCTCACCTATTTCAATTTTGTAATAGGACCAACTTTTTCGGGTGTCCTTTTTATCCCACTCTTAAATAATTACGGTTGTGGACTTTGCCAAAAAATCACAGGCGGCTGTATCTGCGATACAGCTGTAATTGCACGTGGATCAGTCCATGGTCTTTCCTTCTTTCTCGAATTTTCTAGAAACTCCCTAATTTTCATCGAAATTTCTAGAAACTTCTTGAATTTTTTCGAAATTTCAAGAACCTTCTCAAATTACCTCGAAAAGTCTAGAATTTTCTAGAATTCTGATAGATGACGCTGCACACAAGGACCGTTTCCCAAAATGATCCCTCCATATTGAGATCCGATCAATTAGCCCCTCATGTATAGATATTCCAAATTTTTATTTTTTTCTTCATTGAAGTAGTTTTGAAGAAAATTTCGAGCTAATAGGAAACATTTGCTAGTTAGTACTTTTTTTTCAATAAATTTTTGAAAAATCACCCCTGAAAAAAAAAGGCGTTATCCCCCCTATTTCATTATTTCCAAAAAAATTTATCACCAATTGGTTGCAAATTGTTTGAAGTTTTTGCGAGTTAAGAAAAAATCGTCAATGCACTCCTATTATTATGTAAATTAACAATTCCAATTTCAACTGAAAACCAGAGTTGATGACCAGAGTTTGGAGCAGAGATGTCAGACAAGATATGAATGTTTTTTTTGGCTCAAATGAAAGAGCGGCTCGAGAAATGGCGTGGAGAAGTCTTTAAAGATGACAAATCTCTCTAAAGATGATGTCTGTTTTCAATTGAAAAGCGCAATTGTGACAACATTGTCCAGTGGGGTCTAGGAGTCTCCCCTGGTTCAAAACCATCTTTAGAGGCCCTAGCACGCCATTTCTCGACCCGCTCTTTCGTTTGAGCCCAAAAAAACATTCATNTTCTCGACCCGCTCTTTCCTTTGAGCCCAAAAAAATATTCATATTTTGTCTGACATCTCTGCTACAAACTCGGGTCTTCAACTCGGGCTTTCAATTGAAGGCCCGAGATGTAGACCCGAGTTTGTAGCAGCGATGTCAGACAAGATATGAATGTTTTTTTCGGCTCAAACGTAAGAGCGGGTCGAGAAATGGCGTGCTAGGGCCTCTAAACATGACAAATGTCTCTAAAGATGATGTCTGTTTTCAATTGAAAAGCGCAATTGTGACAACATTGTCCAGTGGGGTCTAGGAGTCTCCCCTGGTTCAAAACCATCGTTAGAGGTCCTAGCACGCCATTTCTCGACCCGCTCTTACGTTTGAGCCGAAAAAAACATTCATATCTTGTCTCCGCCTTGTTGTTCATGTCTTGTCTCGGGCCTTCAATTGAAAGCCCGAGTTGAAGACCCGAGTTTGTAGCAAAGATGTCAGACAAG